ATTGAAGGATCTGTTGTATTTCTTTATGACTTTGGATCTTTCAGGAGATTTGCTGGGAGTTACTAAGGTGAAAACAGATGGTTGTGGTCCTGTGTGGCAACAGTTCAGGAGGTGGTGTAGAAACAATGGAAAGCAAAAGAATAGAATCAGGAGAATTTACTTTTGTGGCTGAAGCTCTGATAATGTTTCACATTGATCTCTCCCTTGGCGAGATATTTTCAGATCTTAAGGCTGCCACACAATATGTTGTTTCATATTCAACTTGAATGTATATTTAGTGTCTGGTAGAGATAAGCTATTTCTTGCACAATAGCTAGAGAGCTAAAAGCTGTGTAGAGTCTTTTAGTATTTATTTTCTGTGGACAAGCCCATTTCAGCTGACAACATTTCTAAGGCAGTTATTGTGATTCTCTAGGCTGTAAAAAAAAGTGATAGATGTAGCTATAGATATTCAAGCCAGTGAAGTCATCTGTATATATTCTGCGCATATGTATGTATATAAATGAAAGGGAGGATGAGTGTCTATGCTATTATTACTGAAGTCCTTGATTTGCTTTTCTAATTCAAAAAAAGTTTATAGGATAGGTTAAGTGCTTAAAAATATCTAAATTGTAGGTGCCACTCAGTAGGTTGGTCCAGCTGGTTGCAGAGCCAAGGACTGGAAGTTGCTATGCTTCCTGGGAGAGGGCCCAGGCAAGATAATCTGGAGTGTGTGCATGACTAAGGGTGTCATGGCAAGCTGCATAGTTTCAGAAAGAAGACATGAAAGCACTAGTTCTATGGCCATTATCAATTGATATTCTAAATGCAGAAAAAATGGCATGCCTTTTCAGAATTTGTTCTGCTTTTTCCCCCCTTTGTTCAATTTATCTTGAATTTTTTTTGACCCTTGATCTAGCACAGTTATCATTCTGGACCTTTTGACTTAAATTTGGAAACAGAGGATAACAATTTCTGGGGATAGCTTTCAGTAGACAAATGTTTGCCAAGGTACTTGGATCACTGTAATGCAAGCAAAAAATAAAAATTATTCTTCTTTCAAGAAAACAAAAAAGCAGAACTTGATGTGTTTAATTTAGCCTCTCATCTGGCCCTTCCTTGGTATAAAAATTGGTCTTGGCCTCTTTCACTGCAAGATTAAAGAAGCTGAGAAGCGGCTGATTAAGGCATTTCTCAAACCGTTGGCACACCCTTGTTTTAAGGAGCAGCTCTGTTTTATATCATGGATACACCCATAATTAAATTTACCCCCCCTTACTGTTGTGCAGTATGTCCTGCCAGCAGATATTTACATGCTGTAATAAGTCATCATGCGTTGCTTATTAAATATTGTACAAAAATAGGAGAAAAAATTTCTACAAAATGTATCACCCCTCTTTTTATGAGCCTGCCTGGGTGCAGGAGAAAAAAAATTCTACAAAATGTATCTTCTCTTTAGTACCTGTTCCCAAGGTTGCATTATTGGAAAATTCCCAGTTCGAATGTATGGCACTTGGAATCAGCTGGTAAGATGACATTCAGCCAACAGCAGCTCCACTGTTTGCTGATCCAGTTCAAGGCACAGTTCAGAGTTCTAATCTATAAAACTGTAATAAACTTGGGTCCAAGCTATCTGAAGAACCACCCCTCTTTTTATGAGCCTGCCTGGGTGTTAAGATCATCAGGAGAGGTCTTTCTCTCGATCCTGCCACCTTCACAGGTGCATTTGATGGGGATATGGGAGAGGTCCTTCTCTGTTGCTGCTGCCAGACTTTGGAACTCCCTCCCACAAGAGGCTGGTCTGGTCCTATCTTTGCCCTGCAAGCAGGCAAAGACTTTTCTCTTCAGGCAAGCTTTCCCTGAGTCACTAGCTACCTGAGTGGGGTTTGTTAAATGTATTGCTGTACTTTACTACTTTGAATGTATTCTGGTGTTGCTTTTGCCTACTGTGTTTAGTGTGATATTTCTTTGATCTTTCCATATTGTGTTATTAGTTTTACGTACTGTCTCTTAATGATGTAAGCTGCCTGGGTCCTTTCTGAGGGGAAATATGAGGTAAAATATTATAAACAAAGAGCAACAGCAGCAGATTTTCCAATGCAGCAGCAGTGATCTACTTGTGTATTTCCCAACTGTCACTGTTAAGTGATAAATGTAAACTGATGATGACCTCAGAATGAGTGAGTATGGAGTGACTAAGGTGAGAGAAGAAGCTGGAATTGGGTTCCTCATTGGACCTCCTGAGCAAACAGGCAGCCTGTCAAGTGTTGGGCAAGCTGTATAGGCTCAAAGTGTCTGAGAAAAAGGGAATGGCAAACCATTTCTGAGTACACCTAGAAAACTCTGGAAAGGGTCACCCCTGCGTCAGAATCAACTTGATAGCACATAATCATGTGAGAGTGTGAGGGAGTAAATATAGGACACTAGATTGAAATTTGGACTAGGACTCAGGAGGCTTGGGTTCAGATCCCTGCTTGGTCTTGGACCCTACTGGGGAGTGGCAGTGGTAATGCCATTCCTTAAATAACTCATATACATTGAAGACCATATTAAGGTTGGTGTGCCAGGTGCAACTTGATGCCACATAATTGCAACTTATTGGTAACAAAAAAGAGGACAAAAGAGACCACTATTTTGCACAAGATTGTATATTGCAATTTATAAGCAGAGATATGAAATTAGACACCCCTTCAAATGGAGGGTACCTTCCAACAGGGGATTGACTTCAGGGGCCCCATTAAAAGGAAAACTGTCCTCTCCAAAAGAGAACATCCTACTGGTAACCATTGCAGGTGCAACATCTACTGCAGCATGATATCACAACTTGTACAGTAATATCACCCCTGCGTGGCTTGTCAACACATTTTCTCTAATCTGCGCCCAAGAAGGTCATGCAATGCAGCTTGTGAAATGTAAGCTTTGTGTAATCTGCTACTATGGTCTAGTTCATTTTCCAACCTTTTATTTCCTGACATTTATATTTTTTAACAGTAGTACAGTACATTGTACTGCTGGATTATTACCGTGTTTCAGTGGTGGTGTTAAAAATGCTTATTTAACGTTTATAGCTTTTTTTAGTGCATAGAGTCTGACTCAGTCATCCTCCCAATGACCATCTTTCTGCAAAATCAGCTTTCGCTGTTCCTGGCTGGGCCAATCAAAGAGCTCCTGGTTCAGCTTACTATACTGTGCTAGCCATAAAGAATTTAACTCTGATTCATCACTCAAACACAGATAACAGACAAAATTTATTCTTGAGCTTTTTACTGTCTCACTAACTCATGATATTACAAAGGTTTAAAATACTAACACATCTCTTAATGCTCTGTCTTGCTAATCTTGCTATATCTTTCTGTAGTATGTCTAAAGAATGATTTGGCCAAAATGTTGTTGAAATATGTTTTTTCTCTCTGTTTGTTATGAGGAAATTTTAAAGATTCTTCCCATGGTAAATGTAAAAAGGGCTGCAAAAATTGCCCCTAAATTATCAATTATACGAATACCCCCAAAAGCTTCTGTGGTATGCAGTTTGCCATATAAACACAATTCTTCTCTCAAGGTCTGTTTTAGGCCTTAAACACCTTTTTTAAGAAACAGAGAACACATTTCACCAGACTGGGAAATATCTCTGTTGACTGTGTAACATGAAGAATTTGATCGGAGATAATTGACAGGGATATTTCCCAGTCTGCTACCCTCCAGATGTGTTTGGATGTCAGCTGCTATCAGCCCCCAGCCAATGTTCAGAAATCCTGGGAATGGTCATCTAACAAACATATCTGGACAGTACCAACTTGTGGAAGAGTGTACTGGAGGGAGCAAGTCATGGAAAATAGAAAATAATAATTCCTGTTTATATCACAAATCTCAAAATCCAAGAAGTATTTTATGAACTTGCAAGCTGACATCTTCATACAGGAACCTTCATTCCCATGAAAAGTGCTTCTTGTTGTGACCATAACACTAACAGAAGCAAGCATCCTGCATCTGCTGCCTCTCAGCCTGGTCCCTAAGGCCCTTGTGCTGATCTTTTCATTTCTCTTCCTGTTGGGAAACTCTGTTATAAAACTATATAGCACTTATGCCTTGGGGGCTTCAATTTTACATATTAGGCAAAAACAAAAGAAAAACAAAAGAGAGACAAAAATGAGGCACCTTAAACTGTTGCATGAATGTTTTACTGTGTGATCCTTGTAGTTTATCTCATATGTCTGAAGAAGTGGGCAAAGCTCCATGAACTTTTACATTAAAATATAGTAGTTTTAAGGTGGGTCTTTTTAATTTTTCTTTTGTTTTTGCCTGATATGCTTGCATAGACTAACATGGCTACCTTTTCTAAAACTGAATTCTACCTGTGCATTACTTACCTGAGATCATGTTCTGAAAACCTTTGCTTTTGCTTGAGAAAAAGAAACCCATAACTGTGTGCCACACATAAATTGTAACAGAAAATAGTTTTATTTATTTAATATTGCACTTTTGACCTCCTGATAATCATCATCATCTGGAAGGGACCCTACGGATCATCAAGTACGGCCCCTGTCAATGATAATCCGAGTTCTCTGGATATTGCACACTTATAATACATTTTTAAAAAGTATTAAGTACAAACAATGAAAATATGATTAAAATAAGCATGTGATAAAAACAATATAAATTCACAGCAGAGCCAAAAATTGCTGTGTCATATCAAGCTAAAGTAAAACTAAAAGGAAAAAAAAAGATTACTATGATATAAACACCTTAAAAATAGTTCATTAAATGCCTAGAAGAACAGAAAGATTTTTACCTAGTTAGGAAAAAAATGACATAGATGCTTGATAGGCCCCATTACGAAGAGCATTTTGTAGGGGTGGGAGAGCCACTGCTGAAAAAGCCAGTCCTCTTGTAATCACCCACCTTTTTCATTTAGCAAAGATCCCCAGGTTAACAGATACCCTATCTATCTATCTATCTATCTATCTATCTATCTATCTATCTATCTATCTATCTATCTATCTATCTATCTATCTATCTCTGTCTGTCTGTCTGTCTCTGTCTGTCTGTCTGTCTGTCTGTCTGTCTGTCTCTCTGTCGCTCATCTACCAATTTACAAAAGAAGTGCTCAAGGCAATAATAAAACAAAATAGTGATACTGTATATGCAAAACAAAAAACAAATAAAAAACAGTTGGAAACACAATGAATTCTAAGACCAGTGCTAAATGTGAGCGTGCTTACCTAACCAGTTACCTCCCCTTAAATGGAATGTTTGCTTATATAATAAAGGCATGCTTTTAAAATAAGTTTTTGCATCTTGTGGAGAGACAACAGCAAAGATGCAAATTTAGTTACCATTGTAAATACCCTTGCTAAGCAACTCCAGCAAGTGAAAGCAGCTGGAAAGAAGGCCCTTCTTGTCTCCACCAAATCCACCTCTAGGAAGAGATGGGCCTTTCCTAAATATTTTTAAAATTCAGGCAGGCTCATAGGGCAGTGCAGTCTATGTGTGTCTGTTCAAAAGAAAGCCCCATTGAGTACTACGAGGCTTATTACCAGACTTACAGCATCAAATGATGCTTAAATAATTGTGATTTTTGTGGAGAAACCAGGCAGAAGAAATACCTTTAAACAAAGTGCAGATGTGGCCACCATCCTCTTCTATTCATGTAACATTTAAAATGAGAAATATATTGTTGTAAGCAAGATCTGAAACACATAGCCATTTGATTATATTATAATCATTAGCATGCATGTGTGTGTGTGTCTATATAAATGTACATATACTACAAAACTAGAACAATTTCAGAATAAGAAAAAGAAATCTTCATCCAAAATTACTATGCAGATATACCAGTATCTAGTGCAATAGTTATATTTTCTTGAATTGTATTCCTAGATTTTCGCAATTTAACACAGAAAGCTTTTTCTACAAACTGACGACACAGTAATATGTATATCAGAGGGTCCATACATATATTGGCAGTTGCTAACCATAGAGTGCTTTCTTTTGCTATGAATAGTCGGTTCTGTACGCTGCAGTCAATACCTTTGCCAGTTTGGCTAAGAGTATAAGGTACTCGGGCAAAATGAAAAGGGGCAAAGCAAATGAAGAAAACAGCAACAATTATAAATACCTTACTCTTGGCTCTTTGTTTAATTTTGCACTCTTTTATCTGAGTATTTACGTAAGAGCTGTAGATCTTTTTTGCAATAATTATGTAAACCAATAGGATTAAGATCAGAATAGTCCAGAAGATGACCTGGCATATGTGGTTTACAGCTTCATGCCATTTCAGTCCTAAGCGATTCTTCAATGAAGCACACTTCCTTACAGTGAGTGGTGTTGCCTCACGGTTTGACAAAACCATATTTGGCAAAGAGAGGCCAAAAAAGAAGAACCAGACCAGTCCTGAGAGTATTTTTGCTGATGTGACGTTGTGCAACCAAAACTTCCCAAATGGCCGAATAATCTTGAGAAACCTGTCCAAGGAAATGAGTCCAAGGAGCACTATGCTAATATACATGGTCTCGTAAAATATTACAGCTGAAAAACGGCAAACAAAAGCTTTAAGTTGCCACAATCCCAGTTCTGAATCCGTTAAAATCTTAAAAGGTAGCATCAGCGTCATTATGAAATCAGAAACCAAAGTATTCTTCAGATACACGATGAAACTTGATGTGTTTGCAATCTGGAAAAAAGCCAACACTGCCAAACTATTGAGTAGAAATCCAGCAAGGAAAAGAAAGCTGTATAAGAGTGGAAATACCACATGGGCTATCCTGGTGTCTCGATGACATTGTCCGAAGAATGATGTCCCATTAGAGATGTTGATATTGCCATCCATCATTTAGAAAAAGAGACTGCAGAAGGAATAGTAGATGGGATGTCAGTCATTATAAAAATAATAAAAGAACTGTTTATTTTAAAGATCAAGCAATAAATATATATTTTACTCCACTTTTTCAATTTTTTATTCTTTTCAATTGGGATAGGGTTATGGGGAGGGGAATTTAGAATTGGGGGGGGGTAGGTATGGATAGAGAAAGGGTAAAACTCCAGAGAGTAAGATAGTAGATTTGCATCAACTTGTATAATTATACTACAAAGTGAAATAAAAAGAAAAACAGCAAGTTTCCCCAGTATTATTAAAGGTATTAATCTATCTGTTCCCTAACTGGGAATAGATAGATTAATATATATTAAAATATATATTTTGCTGAAGCAGCTAGTCTGTAAAACAATTATACAGAAATCCTTTTCAGAATTAAGGTTTTAAGGAAAATAACATTTTACAATTCATTTCTTTATCAAGTACAAAAGCAATCTATTTGCTCACTAGGCATTGACTTGATTAGGATTTAATGTTTAAAATAAAGCAAAGTGTGCTGCTTATATACCACCCCATAATGCTTACAGTATTCTCAGTGCCGTTTACAGTTTAATTATATATATTGCCCCCACCCCCAGCAAGGTGGGCCCTCAATTTACTGACCTTGAAAGAATGGGAGAAGGAGAAAGCCTTGGGTCGGCTCCTTGAGCCCATTGGTTTTGAATTTAGGTTGTGAGCATGTTTTGACTGCAGTGCTGCAGTTTAACTGCTGTGTCAAAAGGCCTGCTAAGCAATAGAGAAGTTTTGCTTTGCATATGATATGGAAATGTGGGACTTTACTCCCTAATGTTGAGGGCTTTTGACAAAGGAGAGGATATACTACTTTCCCATGAGAAGATATGCCCATCCAAGGATCACAAGCTAATACCCTCCTAGGGGTATATTTTCCCTTCACAGGTTCCAGATAGATTGACAGAAGAGAAGATGTCCAAGTCAATTGCATTATTTATTAATTATCTGGGTTGTTTAAAGAAAAGGAAGAATAAGATAACTTTAATGTTTTTTTTATGTTGATAGTCACAAAACTGAAATTTTTAAAGATTTCCTATATAAACAAAAAATTGAGGGGAAAAGGAAATTGAGGTTTTTATTGTTTTTTTTAAATATGGTGTTAAAGTCAACTTTAATTGATACTGTGGACCACCAGAAAGAAAAATAAATAGATTCTACATTAAATCCAACCTGACTTTTCACTAGAAGCTATAGTGCCTAAACTGAGGCTTTTGTACTTTGAACATAGCATGAGAAGACAAGTTGACTGGAAAAGATATTAATGATTGGAAAATTATGAGGCAGTAGGAAAAGAGGAAGCTCTAATGTGAGCTAGACAGACTCCATAAAGGAAGCCACAGCTTTTAGTTTGAAAGACCTGAGCAGCGCTGTTAATTACAAAACCATAGGTTACCATAACTTTCAGGTGAGATAATGGTGTTTACTGTATAACAACAGACTTTTTATTCTTGTCGCTATTTTTTACTTTGCCTAAATCAAGCCAACCAAAAGGGATTTTCACTTGCACAAGTGATCAATGGGAAATTTTCTTTTTTGTATATTTGTGTGTAAGAGTAATTTTTTATGATGAGAGAATTCAAATTGTACACATTTTCCCAGGAAATAAGCACACATATAAATAGTGAAGTTTTCAGGTCATTTCGGGATGGTCCTCCCTAATTCAGGCAAGAAGCCAGAAGTGTATCATGTAATTTAGAATTATGACACTTTTGAATTCACTTATAGGCATCACAGTTCTGAATTACATTGAACTTGTGATGACATGTTATTGAAGTTCAGACATGCCTCAAAATGTGGGCTGGGACGGCCATGCTTCAGGGGACAAAAGATACCAAAGCTATTCATCATGCCTGGGACTAGCACATTTATTCTGTGGAACATGGCACAATGCCTTTAAAATATACCTCAGAAGATGGTATATTCAGTATGATATAGTGTAGTGCTAGACTGGGGTAACACTGGTTTAAATCACCAGTCAGCCAAAGAGGTTTACAGGGTGCCTTCTCCTCTTTCTCAGACTAACCTACCTCACAAGGATGCTTTGGGAGTAACACGAGAAAAGGGAGGATCATGTAAGGTGTATTGAGCTGCTTGGAGGGAAAGTGGCACATGCATGTATAAATATACCTGATTGAAAAAGTAAGCGTTGTGTTGCAGTTCAAAGCTAAACAGAGTTCTTTTCTCCTCCAAATTTTATTGTGTTATACATTAAAGTTTACAGCTACAATACACATTGTGTATTGTTGTTATGTGCCACTGAATCACTTCAAACTTGTGGCAATGTACAGGGTATGTGAAATATTTAACAAGAAGCTTTATGAGAAACATCTCCTCCCCTTGTGAGTTTTTATGGTTCAGCACAAATTTGAACCTGGGTCCCCTGAATCCTAATCTGGCACTCTATCTGTTATATCACACTTTAATTTAAACACACACACACACACACAC